TACCGCTGGCAGCAGAAACTTAAACTAGGAATTGGTCACTTCAATTCATTGAATTGTGTCTGCAGGGAAGATACACCCATTCTTAAGATTCATCCCTTCCGGCCAGCGAAATTGACGCAAAATAATTGTCACCCGCCCCGAGCGCAGGATTGGTCGTGACGATTTTGGATTGCATATCAAACCTTTGCATCGAGCAACCATGTGAGTCCCGCATGAAAGTCTGCCTGGAACTTAATCGACGCCGCCAAATGCGGGAAACCAATGCTGAACGCATGCGGAACACCAGGATATCTGTCGCAGCACTTGGTTAGGTCGTTGCCCATTCAACATGGTCAGCTCGACCCACATGTCCAGTTTCGTCTTGACGCCCACCTCGCGCAGGAGACGTTCATAGAGAAGCCCCTCATCGCGCAACGGGTCTAATCCGCACACTTGGATGTACGCCGGTGCGAGTCCCTCATGCGGGGCCAGGAGCGGCGAGAAGTCGGGATCGGAGGGCGAGACCTGTAAAGCGTCTGCTCGAATAAGCGAGGAATCAGATGTTGGTATACATATTCGCGTACCGGCGAAGAAATCCAAGGCTGCGGCGGTCAGGTTGGGCCCGTCCCTGTTCTGCTCGATAGACAACAGTTGATCTTTGTACCTAATGCGGAATTCGGATTAGCAAGCGTGACGGGCAAACAGTCGCTGGACGGACTGCACGGGATAGGCCGCGCGATGCAGAACGGGCGGGAACTGCAGAATCTGACCGGTGATCTTGTGGTTGTGGAAGAATGGGTCATCTCGTGCACGGTGGGCCAGGACGGTGGCCAGGTTTCCGCCGGAGGAAGCACCTCCGACCAGGAAACCTTTGGCGGTATTAGCGGAAAGTCGTGTGGTATTTTCGACCGTCTGAACGCATTTGAGTGATAGAAATGGATGTTCATCGTCGACCGACCCATTTCAATGCAGAATAACAGTCATTCAGGCCGATCGGAAACCGGTGCTCTGGAGCGAGTCTGGTGGACCATGTAAAATGATGTTGCTGCGGAGGCGTTGCAAGCGTACCTGTAGGCCACATTGACAATAGAGATTCGGTATTTCACGGAGATTATTCTATGAGGAAAGTCATCGAGCTCAACATCTCCGGCGACCCAACCTGGAGGATGTCGTGACAAGTCTGGAGCGCGCACCATGGGGAAGACACACCTCCACCATGAAGCCAGAACAATACAGGGAACTCCGGCAGCTCCGCGCTTGTGGGCGTCGGCTTGGTACAGCGGACAGTTATCTCCCCGCCGTCGACAGCGATATTACAATCCTCGATAGAATAGCTGGAATCTGCCCATGGAAAGCAATTCAATTGTGAGGTATGTATACTTGGAGAGGTCGTACGATGGGGTAGCATCGGCCGATTATTTTCTTTTGATTTGGATGCCATAGCGGCCATGAAGCTCCGCCCTGCCTGCAACGGATCCACGGGCGGAGGGAGGACAGGCAGCTTCGAAAAAGCGTGAGCGAATTCGGGGTCAGGATCCGACAAGTGGGCGTATTGAGACATGGTTGGTCGTTGGGTGGGAGGTGGGCAAGAGCGTACGATATTGTCTAGGTTAATAATTACCTTTGGTTTAAGTATGGTTGCTCAGTGACTCAGAGTGATGCTGTCGGCACCGCTCCGCAGTTGATCTGTGGAGGTTCAATTGGGGTTAATAACAATGGCGTTCCTGAGCGGGACCATGCCGTGTAATGCTACCTACACACCTAAAACGGCAAACTATCAACACTGTTAAATGTGCAGCGGATTGTTAGAGGGAACTATTGGTCCGGAAAAATGCGCCAGCCTTTCAACAGGGTTGATAGTTTACCGTCTTAGGTGTGCTACCTACCTACTTGTCATCATTTGCATTCAGTCAATCAATCTACCCTCGGCCATGTTCGGGATGGAGGCATTTCTTTCTGACTCTTATGGAGCCGTAAGCAAATAAAACATACCGCCGGGAGGACCTAGAGAAATGTTAGTAGCCCGAGAACCGCCGCGAAGGCGACGAGTGGGGCAAGGATCATGAGAATTAGGGTTTGTCAATGAAATTGACAATACCAGCGAAGGATCGGCTTCAGAACAGGAATAAATGAGCGGCGTATAAGGCCGCGGTGAAGCGGAAGGATATTTGAGGAAGTTCTGGAATGAGAGCTGAGAATGTCAGTTTCAAAACCCAAGTTGCACCGGGACTTTGAGAAGATGTAGCCCAAGAACACCGGAATGAAGGAGTGCCAAGCGGAAAATTTTTTGTTTGAAAAAAGGACGGTGGGTGGAGCTTCGAAAATCTGCGAAACAGGCTCGACAGCGGCCAAGATGGTGAGCGTTGCGAGCAGAAAGCAAACAAGTCACGAGATATGATCGATTGAGTCCCGGTTGCTTACTTAGGCGAGCCGCTAGCTTCAGCTCTCAATTATCCCTGAAACGAAGTAGCGCCGGGCTCCAGAAGGACACATTCAAGTTATTTGGCCGCGGTCCATTTCCGAGGATGAAAGAGTCCACACGGGGAAGATAGGTGGCGGAACCTCGCAGTGACCGCGAGAGAGGCTCCTCCTGTAAAATACTGGTGAAGGAGACCATTTTTGAGGATTGTTTTTGGTTCGCCATAGTTATTGTAAGGGTCCGGCGGCTTGAGCATGCGGGCGTTGCCGGAAGTCACGTTACGATGCCATATGCGGATGTTGACGCGTCTTTCTCCTCCCACCATCATTGGTGACCCATGCTACCTGCTACAGGAGCCCCGCCCGCTGGAACGGCAAATGCACCCGTTAGTTGGGCAGAAAAAGTGACTGCGGCGGTGTGTTCAAAAGGCGGCTAGGATCCAACAAGCACTGATTGAGATTATGTCGTGCAGAAGAGTGGCCAAAGATGGGGAGAGCCCGCGGCGGAGACCTCGAACACGGCCACGGCGGTACGCATTTGTGGCATCCCTTGGAATTCGTATAGAAACTCAGCGTATACCTAGGCCACCGCATCGACAAGCACGTCGCACAAGCCTCAGGAAATGGCCGAGGAACTAAAGGCCTGGCAGGCTTATTACAGTCTCCAGCACGCCAACGTTGTCGACCCCCTTTTCAATTCTTATCTCGCAGTCTAACGTGCGGTTTTAGCCCCGAAAAATCCAGCAATATGCACCGCATGCGTACCAGCCGCGCCTTGCGTCCCAGAAGCAGCCTGCGTCCCAGCCGCAACCCGCTTTCCAGCCATACCCTGCGTCCCAGTCGCAACCCGCGTACCAGCCGCAACCCGCGTCCCAGCCATACCCTGCGTCCCAGTCGCAACCCGCGTACCAGTCACAACCCGCGTACCAGTCACAACCCGCGTACCAGCCGCAACCCGCCTACCAGCTACAACAACAGCCGCGACCCACGTACCAGCTGCAACAACAGCCGCTACCTGCGTACCCGACGCCCCTTGTGTACGTGCCGCAACAACCTCAAGCGGCGCCTTCGTTATCCTGGACTGCCCCACCGCAGACATGGACATGGCATCAGCAACTGCCCGCAAACCGGTTCCCAGCCGCACATCGGACCCAAGTCGCACAAACGGCTCCAGTCGCGCGCTACGCCCCGTCGCCATCGCCGCTTCCGCGCCCACCCCCACCCAAAGAAGTGATAGTCCCGCTGGTCACTGCGGACGCCGAACAAGAGCCCCCGCCGCTTATCCCCTACCAGACGCTTGAGCTTTTGCTCAAGGACCTCAATCGACTCCTGTGCACCCCGCACGACGACCAGCCGTTCCACTTCCTCGGGACCTGCGCGATCATCGTCAAGCCCGCCGCTAGCAGCGCGGAGAAGGTCGCCAGCGTCGCGTGGGACGTCCTCGTCGGCACGGCCGTCACCTACAAGTACGCTTTCCTGTGTATTTATCCACGCATTTGCTTACGGATGGGTCTGCAGCATCCATAGACTCACGGTGCACGGCTCCGAGCACAACGCGCGTATGGTGACCCCCTCGTCCGCGATATGGATGGGTGCCCCGCCCGACGCGCGCCTCGCGGAGGCGACGGTGCCGCGCGCATGCAACCGGTGCAACCATCTCTTCAGCATTCGCGTCACGCGCTGCCACGGCCCGCTCATCGGCGGCAAGGACATCAGCGGCCTCCAGGGCCAGCGCATCACCATCGAGTTGAAGCACTTTGAGAAGTAGATGCGCTGCTGTGTTTGCGATGTAGACTTGCCGTGCTGCGTTCGATGCAATTTTTGAAGCGGCGCCGAGCTTCCGCCCCATTGTTTATACGACTATTTTTGCTCGATCGTCTGTTGGGAGGTCCTTGGGACCTACGGCTATCTAGTTCTACCCTTTGGTCAATGACATTTTCTTTCGCAATGTGCCAGTTGCGACTCAAACTCTTCGGCATTATAAGTACCTTGCTTCTCCAAACCTCCGCAGGAGATCCCTGTCGTCCCGTATCTCTTTGTCACTCGCGTGCGGTACCATGCTCCGATACTCAGGTTCAGACCGGTTACATTTCATCGGGCGTGGTCTGCGGGGCACACGCCTCCCCATGCTGCATTACTTGCGGAGCCATAGCGGGTCCGATCCCTGCCCCATCCCCGGCTATAGCTTGACGAAACCCATTTTTTTCCCTTGTAAGACGAAGGTTAATTTGCAGGGATATTCAGGTGAGGAAAGGGATCTTTCATCGGGCGTGGTGTACGGTACACCGTCTGAACATCCGGAAGTCATCTCTACGTATAAGAGACCGAACCGGGTTCGATTCCCGGCGCCCGAACTTGCCCATGGTTCAACTAGATGCCTTTTTATTTATTTTGGCCGCTCTAATTGAAATGAACTTTGCGGGCATTTTCACCATCTTATATACTCTGCGGGACACACACACGCCTCCTGTTCCTGGGTCTTCGCGAAATTGGAAGGAGTGCCACGGCCATGCGGCTTGAATTTTGAGGACCTGAAGCTTTTCCCCCCGTGCAGGGCATGGTTTATTTTACAGGGATATTCAGGTTGAAAAGGAGATCCTCAATCGGGCGTGGTGTACGGCACACCGTCTCTGCGCATTGAACGCCTCGGTATTTAACAGAGACCGGACCGGGTTCGATTCCCGGCGCCTGAATTGTCCGTAGTCATGCAGGCTTTTTTGCTGTGCCGACTCAAGCTGGTTTGGCTGGGATATTCACCACCATATTTCGCTTCAGAAGGGATACATTTAATCGGGCGTGGTCTGCGGGACACACGTGCTTTCCCATTGTTGGAATCATTTGCGTCCTTTGAGGGCTCCTCAAATTCCTTCACTTCATAGCGAAAGGTACGAACGAATGAAGACTCTGCATTTATTCTTCCGAAAGCCGCAAGAATTCGAATAGCATGAAGGTCTGCCTTCTGACACAACTCGGTTATTACTACCGAGCACTCGCCCTTCTGTCCCACGAACACTCGTCGCGGAAAGCCGGCCCATTGACAATACGGTCTGTCAGAAAGGTTGTTGGCGGCCCATTCGCATGTAGCCGTGGTCAATTGGATATTCTTATCGGCGAATATACGAGGACAAATATAGGACCGACGGGAAACGGAACCACAAATAATGAAGGGCTCCAACCGGGATATTTTATCCACGGGCTGCGGGGATCGTCTAAGGACGCAGAAGAGCTTTGCCATGAAATTTCAGTCGCAAAGGTGATACACCAAGGAAGTCGCACCAAATACGACTCCTCCTCGATCCTCGAGAATTCAATCAGGATTCCAGGCAGAACGCTTCGCAAGGCATCACGAACAAAGATAAACGCGGCATTTCGATCCGATGTTTGATGGGGCGGCAGAAAAACCAGGCGGCAGTGGAGGCGATCCACCTGAAGATCCCCCGGCGCAAGAATGGGGTCCTCTTCGAACCCTCTAAAATGCGGTTTTTAATCGTGAAACGGATGGTGATGGATGTACTGCGGGGGAGACCGATCAGTGTCTCCGCGAATCCGTCCGGCAGCCGCCGGTGGAGACAAGGGTGATTCGGAGCTTTATTGATCGCAGATGTGGCAGGGAAATCGAATGCAACTGCAGGTTCAATGGGAGTTCGAGTGCTATTGACTTTGCGTATTAGTGGAGGCATACAACACGAAAACCGCCGTCTCACCTCCGCAATCCGACTCGAGCTCCATCAGCGTTCGGGCTAAGGATGAAAGGATGCGATATGCAAGCCCTGCTAAGTAATTCTCCATGCGTACCAGAAGTCGTGTAACCTTGGTGAATTGGGCAGCATCGGGCCAGAGAACGAGGGAGCAGGTCGAAGGCAGGCTCATGTTCAAAAGTAGATATTCTAAACGTGAGGCGGCCGGGGGAGGCCCAGTAGTTTCCGCTTCGTCTTGATCGTCTTCGAAGCTCAGTGTCGTATGGTGAATTGCGAGTACCCGTATGGAGGAAAGTGCACCACGGATTGTGGCGGCTAATACTTACGTTGTGCATATTTAAAACGTGCAGACTGTTCAACGTAGGCCGCGCAATCACATTAAGGACGGCAGAGGTAAGCGATGAAGGCAGTTCGTCCCAGCGCACTAACATACCGGAGATCACGAATCGCTCCAGATTGGAAACTACTCGAAGGACATGCTCGGTTCGCGGAGATCCCGAACATAGGGCGAGATGCGGAGACTCTGAGAGGAGGAAAGATCCCCTAATACAGATCGTACCCGAAGGAACCGTCATCCCCTTGTGAAGTGCTTGCTGCCAAGCGGCGTGATTTCCCGGTGCAGCCACATGGATCGGAACAGGTGGCATCCTCTTCAAGCACTTCCACGATGGCAGCGAAGAAGGAGTCGTGTGGAATGGTCCAACAAGTTGTCATCAACCCCAGAACCCCTGAGTCACGACTTTGATGCCGATGGTCACGGGCTGATCCCAACTTTTTTCTTTTTTTTTCTTTTTTTTTTTTTTTTTTAGGAGCGTTTGGGATAATGAAATTTCAATCTGCAGAAGCATTCCAAAATTCATCCGCTGGGTCTACCAGAGAGCTCTGGTTAATGCCGGGGAAGTTGTCCAGGGAGGAAATGCCATCACGCACATATGCCATAGTGTGGGACTCCAGCCTTTAAAAGTCATCCTATCCCCTTTTTTGAATCCTTCACAGTCAGTGGCTGTATACCCACTAAAACCCCTGCAGTGTAAGTCCAGTCATCCGGCAGTGAGTCTTCATTCATCAGTAGACCACTCCATGTTTGTAGAACGAGATCTTTATTCAGTGCAAGATTATCAAATTTCAGTTTGTTGGTAAGGGTTCTATCTCGTCGTAGTGTAGAATTTATAGACTTCAACCATCTATTATGGATCTCGACGTCTGAGATAATTCGGTCTGGATTCTTCAAGACTTTGTCATTTCGAATGTTCCAAATTGTGTGCCAAGCAGTGGACACTAGGATCACAAATAATTGTCCCATCACAGGATTGATTTTTCCATTTGAGTGTTTGAATCTAACGAGATTACAACCCAAGATAAGGCCCAGCTAAGGGCAGGCCATGTGGAGTATTTCATGGTCCAGAGGTTCTGGGTCAATTTCCAAATCATGGTTGCACCGGAGGCATCACATTCCATTGCTATGTGCTCAAGACTTTCAGGAACACCACAGGTTTGGCAGATGGAAATAACTTACAAAATTTTCAATATGAGTCCAGAAGTCACTGATATTGTGGATTGACTTCCAAAATAACTCACGGTGGAGTCATCTGAAATTTGTTGAATGTATGGAAGTCCAATCATTTAATCTGTTGGGGTGTAGCCAGAAATTTCATAGATTGAGCACCGTATGCGGTCTAGATTAATGAATGTTGATTTCTGGAGGGGCTCAGGATATCCAGCCTTTATAATCTTTGTAAAAATTCGTTGGGAGCCTGTTGAGATTCTCATACCAGGGGAGTTGAACATGATGTCAGGTTGGGTGTCAACTTCAAGTGAAGAGCAGATTTCAAGGTCTGGGTCTACTTTGAAGACTTCTTTTATTTGTTTGAATTGTGTTCGGCCAATTCGTTCATTCAGTGCTGCAAACACAGCTTTGAAAAGTATGAAGCATGGATCTAACATATTGTCCTCATATCTTGATTTCTCCTTGATGAGTGCCTTGAGCAGAAAATCAGAGGAGGAACATAGTAATAATGGTGTGTTCTTGGGTAATCTTTGCAAGAGCACAAGTACCACACCTAGTATTCCAGATTTGAAGTTGATTTTTATGGATGGATTGTCAAATGTGAGGTATATAGTATCATCCTCATCCAGATCATGTGAAAAGATTGTGAATCTCGCAAAGATTTGAGGGTCATATTGACCCGCACACTGGATCTGTATGTGCAGAATCACTGTAATCAACTCTGGGTTTGGGTGTAAGTTGCTTGGTCGACTTGCAGCTATCTCATTCATTAAATCATTGTCCATGAAAATTCGGAAACCATTTTGTAAGCTGCGCAATCGGAAGTTCGGATCATAGGTCATTGGTTTATCAATTTGAATCTCCTGCCTATTGGCATTTGTCTCCTCTGGTGTTAATTCCAGATCATCACAAAGGTCAGCTATTGGAACGAGAGGGTTCCATTTTGGCATAATACAGTCTAGTAATATTTGAGCTGTCTCAATGCATTTCCCCGGGTTTTCACAACCTAGTTCATTTCGATCCCTTTTACAAGGTGGGCAGCCACAAATTTTCCGTCCGATTCCACTGGGATTGAGAGTGTGTGGTCGTCTTTGGACTGTAGTTCTTCTCACAGCAATTATGAGGGCATCTTGAACAGTTCTAACTTCATGTTTATTCACGAGACAAGTTGAAGCATCCCGAAAGCATGCATTTTTATAAGCAGGATTGCGAACAGAGGGATTTTTCCATATTGGCATAGCAAGCTGAACTTCACGGTCAATGGAAAGGCCTGTGAATCGTGTTAGAATACTTGTTGTTTCGGTGTGCTACGGCAATGATGCACATTTGCGTATTGTTATATACCGAGCCGGGGTGGACCTGAAGAGTAAAGGCCGAAGGACCGGAGGCTCCGGTATGTTGGAGCGTCGGAGGGCTGGAGGGTCCGGAACATATATGAAGGAGGATCACAACACCACAGGGGGTCAAGGGTGAGCGAATACCCTGATCGGCAGGTATCCGATAGAGGAAGACAAGTCGGAGTACCGGAGAGTATGGAGACGACTCAGTGCAAGGGAAGTGAGCCAAGCAACGTCAATTATCAATCTGATGTACAGGACATATTAAAGACATATTTATACTAAGTAGCTAATTGTTTTCCAATAAGGAAGGAGGATGGTTCTTAACAATAAGACAAGTCAGAAGGACTGATAGGAAGTTGTATGACAATAAGATGGAAAGACGGAAAGGCGGATAAACGGGAAACGCTCAGTAATCCTTTATTGCGTAAAAACCCGATGATACCGGATGGTTCGGAGGCCCCAGTAGTATACCGGAGCCTCGGAGCCTACCGGAACTACCGGAAGGTCGATGAGAGGGCTGGGGATGTTGCATGGATATAACAGTATCCCCCTCTTAGGTTCCTCTCCCATGAGGAACCCAAAAGGAATGAAGTTTGTCGAACAATGAGGAAGCGTGGGAAAATAAACAAGATCAAAAAGTCACGTTTTGACTCAGACATTTCTTTCTTTCGTACCACCACCACCTCCGGCACAATAACACCAAAACACGATGTCGTCCAGCAACAACAGCAGCCAAGGATGCGAGAGGTCGTCTGAAAACGACCGCAATGACGCTGGCAAGGTTAAGAGCACCAGAAAGGGCAAGGCACGGGCCTCAACGTCGGAACTGCGTGAGGAGGCCGCGCAGCGGTTCTACGAGGAGTGGGAGGAGCGCCGGGCCCACCTGATCTCGGCGTATCAGGAACAGGCAGAGGAGGCCGCGCAACGCGCGGAAGTGGTGAATGAGGAGGCCGCTCATGCCGTCCAGCTCATTCATGATCTGGAGGCGCTCGACGTGGAGGCTCCTGAATTCGACGAGATGCCGGTCATCGAAACGTTGAAGTCGGTGTCGCCGGAGCGTGTGCAGGGAGGAGATGAGGTGGACGAGTTGAACGACGAGGACGACAGCGACGTCGAGCAGGAGGGAGAGGATTGTGCATCGCAGTGAA